TTTTTTTTTTTTTTTGGACCCCTCGATTTGCCTGTGCGCCGCATGGCATGCGCACGCATCATGCGCGCTGCGCGCTGTGGCGCATGTGCGCGCTGCAGCGCATGCCAACGCGCCGCATGTATGCTTTGCGCTCATCTATTATAGTCCACTGTCATGTACCACCTTGTCCATTTCTCTCAAGGAAGTACAGAAGAGAACACACACACACACACATGCCATTGGGTGTCCATGGCTGAGTGGGCGTGTAGAGTGGGTTTTATGACTGTGTCAGATTAGTTTCTCAGACTTACTACCGTTCTGGTCAGGGGTTTGGACCAGGTTCAGATCTGCTAGGATTGCAAGGTTGGTGTGAGTAAAGTCAACCACTTTTCTCTCTCAGGGATGGGTATCGCTAACTCTGGGCGATGTGGTGACTCGTTATCCATCAGTCAAATGAATCCAGGGCAGACTGTCGGGGTTCAACTTCCTGACGAGTCGGTGAAAGTCCGACGAAACAGTCTGGTACAGTCATGCTTTTTTTGAGTGTATAGCGAATATGACAACACACACAGACAGATCTTGAGTCTATTTATAGATAAGATAACTTGTGTGCTTTTGGAAGTAGTGCTCCTGCTGCCCCTGGCCCGCAGGTTGACCGACTAACGTACTAGGTCATTATTTTGAAATTCATGCACAGCAGCACAGGTTGGAAGACTTCTCGATTTGTGCGTGGCATCCTTGAATGCGCAGGGGCCATGCTAATCTTCCTTCTCTGTATGGTTCCAATTTTAACAGATGTCCCAGAGGACAGCACATGTTTAAAAATTAAAAGACTTGATTGACTTAGTAGGTAGTTCATTAGCACTCCTCGAAGGACCGACTTCAGTCATGGATTATTATTTCAATTCATTTGCAAATTCATATAGACAGGTTGAAACTTGAAACTTGAAAGAGTCGGTCACTTTGGTAATTATTTGCATAACCAACTGGCCTAGCTCAGTTGGTACACCCCCCCTGAACTGAACTGTTGAAATACAGACCAGGTGCTGAGTTCAAACTCCACAAGAAGCAGATGAGTAAAATACCACACGTGACACATCTGTTTGTGCTAAGTGACTGTTCATGCACAGGTTGAAAGACTCAATCATAGTCCGATCTGCTCAGCTGACGTTGTGATATCCGATCAGACAGTCTGTATGATCACAGCCATGGTTTCGTCTGTGAATGGATGGCTGGGGGGGGTGGGGGTGGGGGGGGGGGGGGGGGGGGGGGTGTGGGGGGGGGGGTTTTTTTACGGCATGTCGTTTTCTTTTTTGTGTGCACGCGC